CCAAGTCTTGGCACACCATATTCAAAAATGTGACATTTTTTTTGCAGTTGTGATACTCTCTTGAAAATTTTATTATATTAGCAAATCAGCCTTTTCAGAGTTATAAATATTTTTGAGCACAATTATGCTTCCATTAATTAGCTGCACCTCTTGTAAATATCAAAGTAATAACATAGTAAGATACTCGTTCGTTCATTCACCTCGCGTCATTAATGGGTGGAAGCACACAAATAAATAAATAAAGCACAAAAATAACTTATGTTACCAAATCAGGAAACATTAATAACTCTAAAAGGCTTGATTTTTTACCTATATTCACTAAATATTCCTTATTCAGTATAATGAATATTATCTATCCTTAAGTCTTGAATCTTTTTTTTAACACCTTATATCTAAATCATTCGTATAATACTTATATGATAGATCTCATCTTGATGAGATGAGCTATAATTGTAGAATAATGTTAGTTTTCACTTACAATCCTCATGCATCTATGCCCAAATAAAAAAGAACATTAAGAAAGGTATCGAGATCTCGTAACGTCGCAAATGATTATAACGGCTTCATTCGTATGCTAGATAACTTGTATATACACATTTTGCATTTATCTGATGCAGTGGACCATATGGAGTCGCATCGCGACGTTTACCGCGGATCACCCGTGGATATGGGCAGTATATATATTGCTAGTTGCAATACCAGTAGTGCTGCTAATATACTATTGCTGCTTCTCCGAGGTAAAGACATAAAATTAGTGCGACACATATATTTATAGCGGAATTAAAATCAGAATACGTAATGCGCGCTCGTAAATTTCATTCCTGTTGAGAGAGTGCATTTATTTCTATAAATATTTCGGCACTGTAAACGTTGTATTTTACTCCTTTTCACACATATTCTCTTTGGTTACTTCGCAAAGTGTACTGAATTGTAGTCGTGGTACATGATATTGCTTGGCTTGCTTATTACTTTCATCGGTACATTTATGCAAACTATAACGAGCAATACTTCAAAATGTAATTTGACTGTGTCAGGATAAATCGGAAATAAAAGAAGAAGAAGATAAACAGCTGGTTACAAACGATGATCTCGCAGAACCTGCGGACGATGAATCGCCGCAAGCATCAGTTCGTAAACTTTCTCTTGAGAAGCCCATTAAGGAAAAAGATAATATAGAAGATAAAGAGGAAGATACAGAAGAAGTAATCAAGAGCGATAAGGTCAGCAGTCAAAGTATAAAGTACATTGTAGTAAGAATAGTAATCTTAAATTTAAAGTTTTTGTCAGTACGATGTATGAACTTTTTTTTTTATTGCAGCTGTCGGCCGGTGGCGAAGGACCACGTCGAAGAAAACCAAATAAAGAATAAAAAGATAAAAGTTCTAAAAAGCAATTATTATTGCGCTATTTATGTAATACTATCACATTCCACACATTACACTTGCCACCACTGTGGATAGTAGGGTTACCAAATCACCAGCGAATCCAGTCACTGCGATGTGATCAATAGTATTTAATTCAATGTCAAAGGATACTGACACACTTGACATCGTATATAAATTATCACTGATATATTTGAGAAAGTTGTTCTTGAATTACATACGCTTTTATATAATGAATAATGTATGATGCATCTGTATTCTAAAAGAAAAAATTGCAAGATTACTGTCCGTTAGAGAACAGAAGATGCCTTAATAGCACACGATATTTATGCATTTGTGTACTTCTTATTATGATGGTTATAATCTTTTGAAATGTAGCGTTAAGAGAATAGGCCCGTTTTGCTCGGTACATAGATTCAATAACGCAATCGGATAAATTAGTAGATGATTGTAGAGAAATATCGGCCGCAATTACAAGTGAAGCGTATGAATAAGAGAGAGTGAGAAAGATGTGTCATTTAATAGATACCATGTGCTTCAACTATTATGGTGGAGCCGAGTGCAGCTGCAGTTCAGCTCTGTCTGGTATTTTATAAATGTGCAAATTGGATTTTGTTTCTCCAATATTTCGATAACTCTAGGCATAGCTGCTTTCCCTAAAATATTGTGTTATATATAATTATTATAAAAATGCATGATGGAAAATATAAAAGAGAAAGAGTTTAGGAATTATTCACCTGCGATGTAAGTGTTTATTTATGCGGAGCATCGATCTGCCACCATAATAGTTGAATGAGAGATAACAATTTGTCATTATTATTAATTATTTCATGTAATATTCGTCAATTTCAATGTGTTATAGAATTATTTGAGTTAAAAATAAGCCCACACGGTACACATTAATATAATCAGGTACTACGTTATTTGTATCGATTGATTGTGAACGAAATAAAATCCAAAGAGATAAAGAGAGTCGTAAGTAGTTGAAGTTGTAATAATGTAATATTGCTTCACACGCGCTACGCTTCCTCATTATTTCACACTGCTTTTTTTTGAAAGACACTGTACGTACAAACACGGATTGTAAATATACATCGGGCGTTAAAATACATTTCAATTTAGCGAGACGCGACTGTTTCGCGATCGCTTTCGTAGTGGATTGTTCTAGCCGAACGACAGCACCAAATGCTCCGCGGCGACAATGTCTACTCGACGGTCGCCACGTTTTTCCCAGCATTTGACGAAGTGGTCAACTTGAGGACACGTCAGCAGAACACGTCAGATTGTTCGAAACACGTCGTTAATCGACCGCTAAGCGTTTCATTCCGCTGAACGCAGCCATTGACTAGCGGAGGTTATTGCTGAGCTTTGATAGCACGATTTGCACGTAGGTACGGCACGTTGCGACAAGTGTCCAGGCAATTTAGCATGTACCGCCATACACCTCGTGCACAACACATAGCCGCAGGACCAACAATGATGCTGAAACGATGTTGTAGTTAAATAACGAAGTCAGAACATCAGTCACACCGTATCTGAATAACACTTCGGCGAACATACCTTTTTGTTAAAAGCGTCGAACGTGGTGGAGCATCCACATTCTTCCATATTTCGCGATGACTTCCACTCCAGAGCGACCGTTCTCAATTCATTCTCCAACTGATTCGTCTTCAACTTCGCCTTTTCATCGTGGTTTGCGGTATTTTCTATAATAGCCTTTGGCAGAGTCTCCATGAATTTATTGTCGAACTTGTGTTTTCCTTTTTTCTGCGTGTTATTTGAATTCAGAAGTTGTCCCAAGGAGTTGACTCGCTGTCAAGGATAGAAATCGGAATATTAACGACATAATTCTTCAATTCATTCTTCTTAGGTTATACAGAATGTATATACAGTGAATTGCAAAACGATTTAGACACTATAAAGTTGGGAGATTACCAAACTATTAAAATTGAAAATCATTACTGATGGATTTATCTAGTAATTATATTATTAATTATTATTATTTCGTGTTCTTAATTACATGATTGCGTAAGTACGCATGCGTAATGACTCAATTTTGACAATTTGATGAGCTCTTAACTTCATTGTGTCTAAACCATTTTGCAATTCATCGTGCACGGTACGAGTCTAAGAAATATTTCGTCTCGAAATATTATTTCTATCACTCGAATCAATGGGAATACGTATGCTCTTTGTAAAAATTGCGATACGCACTTTCAGCAGAAGTTTGACGTGATCCTCCAAGGAGCTCGTATGATCGTAGATCGTCAAAAGCAAATCTTCGCATGATTCTCTCGGGTGTACACCATTCTCGAATCTAAAGTACAAGCCTCTCCAAAGACTAAAACATAATTCTTGTTAAGTCGCGAGCTATATGGTTATACGAATTAACGAGTGCTCGCGCAAAAGTTACATAATTATTACACGATAGATTGAGGCGCCAGTTTAGGTTGAAGAACATCAATGGAGTCGTCGGTGTTGTAACGATTGCATCTGTAGATCGGGTTTATATACTCGTTCGTGTTGTTCGCCAAATAGCCCCACAATGAATACGTACGTTCGGATAATCTAAAACAATAATTTATGCTTGAAACAATAATTTGCAAATAAGTTAAGACTGGTTAATAAGTTAATACATTTTCTCGTCGCTGGAAAGAAGAGAATACTGACGAGTAAGATGTGGTATACCTTAGTATTTGCCTTTCTTTCTCCGAATTGCCGATAAACGTGCCGTGCTGGCAACTATGTACATGATCATGCAACGTCAACAGAAAGTATTCGTTAAATTGAAATTTGTATGGGTATTGTCGCAACAACTGATACGTTGCGTCTATGAACTGCGTAAATACTGGGGCGAGCTCTTTACCGTCGCTGCTGACGTAGCCACACCGGTCGCTGAATTTGTGGCCAAAGGATAGCCAGTCTTTTTCTATTAAAGCCTTACAAAAGAAGTTTTCTCAATAAAACTATACATATATAGGGTCGGTTTATCCAACCTCTTGCTAAGCTAACTAACAGTTAAATCTTATGTCTGTTTCTACCTAATTTAAAGGAGAAACAAAGACAGACGTATGAGTTAACTGTTAGTTAGCTTAGCAAGAGGTTGGAAAAACCGGCCCATAGTCTACTAGTATCAAACGTAGAACATAGTAAATTCTAAAAGTTTAACTTTTAATTTTAGAAGAATAATATAAATTTTAGTAAATAGTTATTTAAAACTAAATGGGTGTAAAAAGTCGAAACAAAAATGATCGTTACTTATCATTTTATATATCTACAGATGTCTTTTAAAAAGTATTTTTCACTTGAATTACTCACTTGAAAACCTTGAATTGTTCTGTAAAATGGATCTAGTAATAGCGCAGCTAGAGAGCACACCTGCGCGGTGCGATCCCATCCATCGCTGCAGTGCACAACCACGCTCACGCCGTTCGAAACTGCTCGTGCGATGAACCAAGCTGTCTCCAAGATAGAGCGAATATGCTTTAACCAACCGCTGCTTTCTAGGCCACTCAAAAACGCGCTCATGGAAGTCGATCTTTGTACTGCAATCAAACAAACATGAGAATGTACATCCAATATAACTTTATCAGATATCTGCTTCACAAAAATGCGTCACACTCACGGTCCATAAGTTTATTTAGACTTGTTCTCATCACGTGAATATTTTCTATTCCAAAGAAGTGAAATTTGATATTGTCGTAGAAATTTTCATTCTCATATCCCTTTCCTGCAGCTTTATTAGCAAAAGCATTGATCTAGTCCCAACAAAATGAAGTTTTAAGTTTTAATTCAACTATAAACAACAAAACTACAATGGCTCTAAATTCAAACAAATTCAAATATTATTTAATTAAGGACACAGGTTTTAGCTCTTATTGTCTTTAATTAAATAATATTCAAGTTTTAATATTTCACATATCTTATAAATAATTACAGTTTAAAAATCATGCAATTATATAGCAGGGAAGAAAAATTTGACATCATAATTCATCAATTCAATTCGACATCATATACTCACCCGTGGCCTTGTGTCCACAACATACATATACCTTGAATTGGGATTTGTACATAATATATTATACATCATTTCTTCATCTTCAGGACATCTCGCGCTGAATCCTGAGAGTGGTTGACTGCAACGACAAATGGCAGCCTAAAAATTTATTTGTTTCATTTCTGACTTTATATTATCTAACTATATTATCTAACTTGTTATTTCTCTTAAACCTTGTTTGAATGCAGATATGTCAAGACTGGTAGCCTGCCTCTGCTTCTAAACTTTGCACTGCCCAGTAGAACATTGTTAGTACATTTACTAGGAACATATAAGTACCTCGGGTAAGTATCGCAAAGCTGAAAAATCAGAGTATGATTTAATTATATATAGATAGAAAGGAGAAAAAATACAAGAGGAAATATATACTTCGTAATTAGAGTTTAAATATGAAAGTGACCATTCTTCATTTGGGACACCTTGTCGCTGAAATTCACTCTGTACATTGAAAAAGTTCCATCCTGCATGCCGGGGTAATGTATCTTCACTCCCTTGATAAGTGAAGCAATATAATTCTTCTAGACTAGCTTTATATAAAAAAAAAAACATTATGAGTGTTAAACTAATTATACTACAAATATATACATATGCATTAATATATATCTAAAAGTGCTGTATTGCTAAACAATTAGTTTATAGAATTGATTTTAAATTATATGTAATTGTAATTTATAGTACAGTTTTATTGAGAAAATAGTTATATTTTTTATCAGAAGTATAAATTTAAAATATATACGTTTTTATGAAATACAATCAATATTTTCTTACCTGGACAAGATAATTTCAATAAAGTAAGATAAATTTCATGGCAATCACGCTCCTTTGGAATAACAAATGTGGTAATAAAGAAATGTTTGCACTTAATATATAATGGCGAACCTCTTGTAGTCAATGGCTGTTTTTCGATATTAGATATATGAGTATATAATACCTGCAATCGTAATAATGTCATTGTTAAATAGCATGTTGCAAATGCATTATCTCTAAAACTCTGAAACAAATAATTATTAAGAACCCTATAATAACTTACCCACATTTTCTTCTTGCCACTTCTTTCAACAAATATGAGATGTGTCACTGTTAAATAAAGTGTACCGACGGAATGATTGATGCTGTATTTATCCAACATTCTCACATTTTCTACCTGCAAACATATTATTTCGTAAAAGAAAACTTATGATGTATATGAGTATTAAATTAGAAATTGTGATACCTTAGGAATCTTTATCTGCTCCATTTGTGTAGATATGAGAAATCACGTTTTATATCGAACAGGTATTTTAGGCGATTACAGCAATTAACATATGCACATGTAATTCACATTTCATGGTACAATTGCAAATTAAATGATACATTTATTATAAACATACAAGCTGTCTGTGCACCGACACCTGTCATATGCCTAAATAGGCGAGGTTACTATTTCCATCCTTTTCTTTCCCGAATGACAGAATGAAATAATATCACGAAAACTAAGTTTGTTCTTTGTAACTAAGCTTTCTGCATTATACTAGATTTAAAAATATATATACGTAAATAAGTACATCTACAAGTTAATAAATGAATTAGTATAATTAGATAAATCAATTTTATGTTCTCTGGTATTTGAAAATTATAATCTTTCTGACTTGCCATCGACTCATATTACTTTGGCTGCGTTCCGAAATTCACTGCCAGTGCTAAAATTCAATAGTATACGTGACATGAACTATAGATTTTCAGTACTGGTAGTGAATTTCGGAATGCAGCTCGAAGCAATGAAGATATGTCTAACTTATCGTTGAGTCATACTACTACTTCGATTGTTTGATAATGCAAGATTCATATTGCGTCCAATAATTCAATATCCAATAAATAATTTTAATAAGTTTTCCAGTAAAGAACATTGTGTTACACACAACTATTTTATTTGTTTTTATATTAGTTACTTGTTATCTTAAAAGAATAGAATAATCCTAAAGTTATTTTCTTCGCATTTTGGTCGAAAAATTGGAAAACAAATTATCTATAATTTCGAAGTCTCTGCAAAAGGCCTTCATAGGATGCTTACGATAAAGTGCTCGAGGCTAGTTTCATATCAGCGATATGCTTCTCTAGTATTCAAATATTTCACGTTCTGCTCCAATTGTCTCAAAATACGATCGAGTTACCAAGATTTGAATCTCGTTACGAGTTTACTAACTTTGTAAAAATAATATTACATTTATTTAATTATATATGTATATATACAGGGCAAAAAGTCCGGAAACGGTCAAATATCTCAAAAAGGATTAACTGTAGCGAAAAATATGTAAGTAGCAAAGTTGTAGGGCTTAATAAAATATACCTAATGATGGCTAAAAATTTGACTTTGAGTGGAGAACGAAGGTCAAATTGAATTTTTTAAATTGGATCCCCCACTTTTTATTATATATTCTTGTAGCCTATTTCAAGGGCTTTCCAAAAACCTATAATAAAATATTTTTA